AAATATTTTTTAGAAGTTTTTGACACAATGTTTTCAATCTTCAGTATGATGAAGAACATAGCCAAATGATTACAAAAAATGATGAAAATATATACCTTTCCCCTCTAACTAATGAAAGATAGGCTATTTACCGATACTCATATTCTTGACCTTTTTGCACTTACACGGGATTTAATAATTAAATGACTGTTTGGGGTTACTTTCAGATTGAATATTTATCAGAAATTGTACTTTTACTTTAAAAAGATCATATTTAATAGAAAAATTGTAATCAAACACCAAGAATATGAATAGGTAACAAATAATTGATAAAAGGAATGCACATCATTTCATTATAGATATCACAAAAATGTACACACGATCAAACGATCTACAACACGTACATCTTTGACTTAGACACATTTCATCCAGATCTTACACTATATAGCTGGCAACTAAAGATTTCTTACGATTTATGCATTCCTTCAAAATGGTTACATATCATTCAAATTATTACGAAAGTTGTATGTACATTGTAATTTCATTACACTAGATTGTCTTGGGTTTGTCAACTTCAGGTCTAGATCTAGTAAATAAAAGGTGCCTACATATTTTCTCTTATTCCAGAAATATATTGCCATTAAGCATTATAAACCAAACAAATATATGAATTGAATTAAGATTATGTTGGCATGATTGAATTCTGTGAATTTCAAAATGCAGTATTTTCTACCATTTTTACTGAAGCTGTCAAGTACGGGAAAAAGTGGCATTGAATTAATTATGACGTCTTAATGGGTTAGCACAGGTTTAACACATTTACCAGCTATGATGGCACACGAAGTAGGTTCTACGTTAAAAGAAATGTAATGAAAATACTGTGTGCTAAATCAAAAGTTTATGTCTACATGTATAGTTTTTGCATTAGAATGACTGTGTATTTTACACAAGCCCATAGCTTTACAGAGCATAATTTTAGGTCTTATACTTACCCCACAACCTTTCTTATTTAGGAGGAAGTCGATATTGTACAAAAGCAAAAAAAACCACCCTACCTTTATTTTTCTATAAGAAGGAATTAAAAATAAGTTAAAAATAATCTACTATTCTACTAATTTTTAACTGTTACTTTGCCACAATACTTTCAAGTATACCTCCACCAATATTTAAAGTATGCTTTAATCATGGCGAAGTAAATTATGATTGATAGTACTTGTGTGAAGGTTAAACTTTATTTCAATATTTTATCTAGAGCCTCTTTCAGAATTATTAAAAGGTATAGAGTTTTATTTATATTTTTGCTTTTCATTTATTATTATTATTATTATTTTTTTTTTGATTTAGCGTAATGTTCTTTTTTTTTGGGGAGGGGGGGATAAAAATTTCCTCCTCTTTCATTGTCAAATAGGATTTGCCAAACTTAAACAAACTAAAAGTTGAAATTACGGAAAATTTAATTATTCCTATTAAAGAGTATTTAAACCTGATTTTTGCATGGTTTGATTTCTAAAAACAAGTTGAATATCATTCTTTAAGCAAACTCTATAAGGAGGAATATTAAAAAGAAATTTTATTTACTTGACAATTAAAGAATCTCTTTTCAAACACAATTTTAGCATTGAAAGACTACGTAAACTCTTAATTATTTCATACGACTTTTTGTATTTTTCTGGTTACAGAAAATGTAAAAATTAGTTTCGCTGTAAAAAAGATATTAAAGAGTGTATATTTTGTTTTATTTTATAGGACTAACATATAAAATAATGACCCCCTAGGACCCTTTTTCTACAAAAAATGAATTTTTTCTACGGGTGGGGGTCATTTTTTGTCGTTGAAAAATGATCCCCCGGTCATTATTCGATGGGGGTCATTATTCGTCTTTATACCGGCATCCACACAAATCTTTGCTCCATTCACGAAGACCCCTGCTGACCCTGCTCGTAAAACAAACTGCGCATCCCTGGCCGAGGTCAGAGTAGCCGAAGGTGTCGTCGGAGAAGAGATCAACACGTGGGAGAAAACGATCTTTAACAGATTCAGCAAGAAAACGAAACAGAACTTCAGTTGTGTCAAAATACAATCAAGGCAGCTAAAGGTGGTCAATATGATTGTTGGATGGGATTAAAAGAGACGCTGTGCAGCTTAAAACTCATGCCGATGTAGCAGAGTACCTGCTTGATCGGTAAGAAAAATAATGTTCATTTTCACAAAAACTGCTAAATAAATCTTGATTTCAGTATAGGTATTTAGTAGTAGAAATGAGTTTATCTTATTTTTATCTAAAACTGCAATATTTTAAAGAGAAAATGGGGATTAAGCCGATTAACAAATGTAAACAGTATGTAAACAAATTGGGAAAGCTGATGGGGCCCCCAGGGGGTACGCTTTCTTTGTTTAGCAAATGCGATAGGGATTAACAAAAGATAAAACCTGCTAAGCCAGTAAATTATTTAATTTATTTTCATATTTCAATGTTTTCAATCTACTGACTAACATTAGAATTATTAATAAAATTTAATCCCTGTCATAAGAGAGGACACTCGACTGAAGCCATGCTTGAGGACTCTGAAAATGAGGATAGATGTGATGAGGAATCAAATGATGATCTTCGCCCCGGGATTGCCAAAATTTTAACTCCAGAAGAGATTGAGGGCTGTGAGGAAGGCCGCCCTTTTATTGTTTATCTTTTACAGCTTCACACATTAGCTGAATTACGTGTCCTACCAAATTGTCAGCTTAAAGGATGCCAAAAAGCAGTGCATTTGGAAAAAACTGTTGTTGGATCAGCACTCTATTTCAAATGGGTACGTAAGAAAATTGCCTTGTAATCTCGTGTTTTAATAAAGTACCCAGGTACTATGAATTGGAAACAAATTAATAAATTATCATATGGTTTATTCATAGAATTGTTCTGATGGACATCAAGCTCAGCAATGGTGCTCACAGTCTGTCCTAAACAGAGGAATGCAATTAGGGGATTTGACACTCTCCTCTTCCATACTTCTCTCTGGAAGCAATTTTGAGAAAGTGTCAATGATGGCTTAATTCATGCAAATACCTATTGTGAGCAAAAACTCATTTTATAAAATGCAGAGAACATACTTGATTCCAGCAGTGGATGACTTTTGGACAGAACACCAGGAAACTGTTTAACCAGTTTCAAGGAAGAGATATTACAATACTTGGTAGATATCTTTTTATCGGGTTAGCATCGTTCCGACCGATTAATCGATTAAACGGTTACAAATTGTCATCCCTAGTATATATACACTATTCTTCTAACCTTCTTGCAGAGGACCTGTGTATCCTTTGGGTGCGCTGGTATGGTATCTTTTACTTTGCTTTTAATTACTCTGAAATCTGAACTCCCACTTGATCTGCTACGGAGATTGTTTGTTTCTCACCAAGTGTGTTGGGGGGGGGGGGGGGGGGGGCAAAAAATGAATCTTCATATAACTCTGCTTTCTCGCACTTTTTTTAAAGCTAAAGTCGTAAAGCATAGTCTGTATAAATACTCATAAGAGATTTTTTGGGAAAGAGACTTTCAAGATATACATGATATTGAATAAATAATATCGTATACTTTACTGTAAAATCCCGGCTTAGCCATTACACTATGGAGGTAATTGATTTGAATGAGAATGCGGGGCGTCTTAAGTGAAAAAAATAACTGACCCATAAAACCACTCGATCTTGATTCGTGCTAGAGACCGGCAAAATATAAGCATAGATTCTTGATTAAATTATATTGCAGGTTATTCCACTAAACTTACGAGTTATATTTGAAACGGCTCACTATAAATTCGCTAAGACACAATGGAATCTGTAAACAGAGCGATTGCATTGATATAGCTTTCAGTTTGAGCAAAATCCTGTTTATTCATGCCAAACAAGTAAATATGATCTTCTGCGTATAGGAATTCAATAATTCTTAAAATTCACTCGTGTATTTTTATTTCATTTTTGTTTGTTTGTTTGTTTGTTTTTTTTTTTTTTTTTTTTTTTTTTTTTTTTTTTTTTTGTTTTACAAACTCTCTCTGCGTAGTAAGATAAATGATAATTTACTTCAAAATATGTTTAATGCCCTTTTCCTTTTGATCCATTTTCCCCCTAAATACGTTGATCGGACATGTGAAAAGCCTATAAAAGTTTATTTCTAGCTTTTAAAAATTATGCTTTAAAATACCTGCGAACATGGAATTTTTTACATGATCTGAAAATTACGATTTTTTTGCCGAGGCCAAAATAAAAAAAATACCTTTGTTTCCCCTATAACGCGACCTACCAAATTTAATCGCGCCGACTATAAAATGATTTTTTAAATAAGATTTAATTCAAATGATTTTTTTTATTGTTAACCAGGTTTTTTAAAATACATGTACAGTTTCATCAAAATCAGTTTTTATTAGAACTGCGGACATTGTGCTACTGTGATTTTCAAGCATTTGTTGGAAACAAAATGACGCCCAGATGTGATTATAGAGAATTAGTTCTTCATAAAACAACGGCGACGTATCAATCTTACGCCTTTGGCTAATAAGAATTCTTCACTCTTGAAACAATTCGATAATAAGTTGTGACTTAAACAGAACATTTGAGAAAAAAAATTGCTTCAATTATGTGTCTATGCACCTTTAATAAATAGGTGCATTATAATCCTACAGTCATCTCAATCGCCTTTTTACGTGACGTTATATTACAAAAAATGACGTTCCTAATGCATTTTTCCATCAAAACAATACCATATTGCAATATCTCGTTTTGAAAAAGTAAAATAGATATCGAAAAAAGAAAAACGGTTATGAAAAGCTTAAAGTCTACACTATCGATAATAAAAATCATGTTAATTTTGGGGATGAGGCCATATTTTATGGTTCGTGGATTAAACTCTTTCAAAAAAGACTTCATGGGAAAAAAGATTATGAAAAAATGCTAAAACGTGTAGCATTATTGTCTTAATTTTGACATAAAAATATTTTTTTTTCATACGTGTTTATTTTTTTTTATAAGGAGATGGCAGAATGGATAGCCCTGGTCACACTGCTCAGTACTGTTCTTATACATTCATGGAGTATGACACCAAAACCATTCTGCATATAATCACTATGGACAAGCGAGTGACAGAGAAAAAAAAAGCACACATCCGGGAAAGCTTGCTTTGTTCAGGGCTTGCGATATCTTCCGGACAAGGGACTTCATATTGTGAAGTTGTAACAGATGCTCATGTACAAGTTGCTTCAGTAATGAGTAAGTTCAAACAAAACAACCAATATATATGACTATAAGTAAATCCTCTGTTAAAAAAGGCATACATGTACATATACATGTAAATTTTTGAAAATGGTTCTTATTTGTTAATTTTGCAGAAAAAGACTTCCCAGACATAAGACATTCTTTTGATATATGGCACGGGACGAAAAACTTAGGCAAGAAAATCATCAAGGTAACTTTCAGTTCCGCATAGTTGTATACATGTAGTGTTATTTATATATAGATATTTAATTTTTACTCAACAAACTAGTAGTTGCATAATCTTTTTATATATGTATTTTTTTGAAGTGTGTTTATTCATATCTTGTAGGCAGGTCAGCAGAAATCCCAAAAAGCTATCCTGTCATGGACAAAAGATGTTGTCAACCATTACTTGTACACAGCTAGCATCTCAAGCACAAAGGAGGAGTTTGTTGTAAGTTTCCATACACTAAAAAATATATGTAAACTTTGCAAAAGCGCTGCATGTGATCATGATTATATAAATTGGTCTAAAACAAATTTTACTTTTCAAGGGGAATTGGATAGGAATCCTCCATCACACAGTTAATGTTCACACATGGGTTTTACCCTATAGTGACATTAATGAATGCAACCATGGACCACTGACTGAAGAGAGAACAAAAGGGTGGTTAGAAAAGGATTCTCCAGCACATGTGGCTCTTCGGGAAATTGTGTTAGACAAACGTCTCCAGAACAATGTGCCTTACTATCTTAACTGCAGGTCAGTTTTCTATCAGAAACAATAAATGTAGGTTCATTTTACAATTTTGCTACAGATCTGCACTACACGTATGTCTAATAAATTATTAATACATTCTTGCATTTTATAGGAGCACAGCAGAACTTGAAAATTTCCAGAACGTAGTTAATGCATATGCATCCAAGCATCACTCCTACAACCCACCTTTATATAGGTGCAGGAATCGACTTGTGGCCTTGGACTATAACCACCATATAAACAGAAACGTTCTTGTCAAAAAAGATGGAGCAACACAGTAAGCAATATATGAACACTGGCCAATATTTATTGTTGACTTCAACAGTGAGACAAAATAATATGAACAATAATACATAATGAACAAAATATTTTCCTTTCAGATATCAGAGGAGCTACAACAAAAAAAGTGGAAGATGGGCAGTTCATCCTGTGAAAGAGAAGCAAAATTTTCCGTATATCCCATCTTTGCAGGAGAAGATTCTATTGTCAAGAGTGACAGATGAAGTAGGGATGAACCAACCCGTGGTGCTGGAGGTAGATGATCCAAGAAGATTGTCATCTCATCTGACTCCAGTCCCACCCCTCTCACTGAACAGCTTGTTGTCAAGCAGAAGTGAAGGTTTCTACAACAAGAAAGAGACAATTGACATGTCTTGAACAATCACATCTCAATCTAAAATAAAACACTTTAGAATATAAAATTTTGTTGAGTCATTTTAAACTGTTTACATGTAGCTACGAAAATGTTGTTAACTCACGTTATCCTAGTCGTCCTCCAATGAAGCCCCTATATTGGCCAAACGCATCTGGGAACTTGTCCCTTATTCTCCATACACAACAACTGGGAATCACCCTTCTATTTCTTGCACCTAGGTGACCATGATGCCAGAGGATAAATTGGCGGTAGGCTGCATGTCTGTTCCCTCTGTTGATATCTGCATCTGGCAGCTGTAAAAATGTCTTCACGGTAACGTCGGGCAACAACCAGAACAAGGTCATCAAGGACGACCCTTTGGAAATCCTAAAAATATAATTAATAATGAATAAAGAAGGATATGGAGATAACGAACAGTATTCATTCTCAAAGTCCATAAAACAATACAAAACAAGAGCAGAGCAAACATGGACCTCCGAAACATCAGAGCTGGGATCAGGTGCCATGGAGGAGTGAGCATCCCCTGCTGACCGGTCACACTGCCGTGTGCTCCTTGTCATGATCGTGAAATAACGTCAATTCAATGTATAATTAATATTGAATGTTATGATATACATTTAAATTTGTAAAATTTTAACTTTCTTTTCATCTGTATATCAGTAAATTGAATTTCTTATAATTACTGGGACAATTGAGTAGCAGTTTAATGGAGTCTGTCCACAACAGAGTTTTTCAATTTTGGATGGCATCTCTCTGCAGTGGTTGCAGGTACACCAGCTTGGAATGCCATCTGACGGTTGTGGGTGGTATCCTTGCCTCCTTTCATTTTGGGAAGCCTCAATCAAAATGTCAAAGACAGATGTTGGGTCCCTGTTGCATATAGCTTGAACAAGGTTCCTCAAGTTCTTCCTTTCAGCTGCAAGTCTTTCAGCAACAGTTTCTTGGGAGATTCTTCTGCGGGCACCTACTCCTCTTCCACCTCGCCCACCTCTTGTCCTAACTTCCCTCGGGCGTCCTCCTCTCCCACGCCCTCTGCCTCTTCCCCTCCCCCTTCCCAAATCTGAGGAGGATGAGGATTCTGGGGATGAAGACGTCTGTCTTGATAAATTGATATTCTATAATAAAAATTATACATTTGTATTATTCATTCTATAATAAAAATTTTTATTCATAAAAATAACATACATGTTCATGGAATCAATTTAACTATCAAAAACACATGATCTTCAATTACTTAATATTTTAAACATGAAAAATATGTCAAAATCTCCATAACTGCAATTATTTTAATTCAGTTTTGTTAGTATAGGTATATGTATACAGTAAATTAGGAACAGGCTTAATTAGTTTTTTTCTAATATAGCTATATTATTAATGCGTGTATGTAATTGTTCATATGTCTGGTAAAAATATGTATATATTAAAAAATTTTAAAAATTCAAAACTTAAAAAGCTCATCTTCAGTGTCAAGTTTGAGATTTGAGAGTCTTCTTGGAATTTTAATTCAAGGATTACTTATGCTGTCTATTTCATATTACCAACATATGTTAATGCCTTTTTTAAAATTTCCCCTCTTTATTTCATCTTTTTTAAAAATGTATGATAGAAAAGGGGAATTTTTTTTTAGTTTTACATGATTTGTCTTTGTCTGTTTTCAAACAAAAACACAAAACTGCCAACGCAAGTATACTTTCTGTAGTGTAATGTTTGTTGATGAGTTAACCCTTATGAGGCCCCTCAAATGTTATAACCCGATGTAGGTCACTCTGTTCAACTGTGGTGTGTTTTAAGTAATATATAAATGTTAATATAACCTTTTCAGTATAATTTTAAGTTTCTCTAAACTTTAAATACATAAAACTTACCTCTTCTGTCTCCATTCTCTGCTAGTAAGCATCCAAAGTGAAAATGATAAGATGGTCAGCATCTCCCTGCTGAGTCGGCTATCTTCGGAAATCATGCCGAGCAATAATGAGGGCAGTAAACGGACTTCACAGATGGATGATAATATAATATTTATTGATTCTGTTAATCAGTAAACTTTTTTTAAGCTTGCAGTAATGAGGGATTGTCCTAAAAATGTATTTTACACATTTACGTGCTAATTTATTGCCTATGAAAATAACGTTAAGACCTTAGAGACTATTTTTCAATATTTAATATAGAGCGCAAACTCTGATCTAAAAATCACAACTAGTAATTTATAGAACTGTTCCTGTGAATTACAAGATATGTTTTATTTTTTTATATCAGAGCGCGCGCTCAAATTATTTTTCTTCTCTAAAAGTACTCAAATATAGATGTTTACATTAAAATTCGAGAACATTGCAAATTCAAAAAGCCTGTGTTCCAAGACTTCTAGATTGGGAGAAAAATTTAAATAGGAAATGAAAATACTAAGTCTCTGCTTTATTTTGATGTTTAAAATGGAACATAAAATGCTAGTCAAAAAACAGGGTCGTTTTATGCATAAAGTGAACTGAGTTCTTTGTGTCTTAATTAAAAATTACATCTTCGACGTTTTCCCTCCAATATTTTTATCCAATTGAAGCATGAAACAAAATAAACTATAAGTCTATTTTGTGACTAAGAAACAATTTCAAATTGCTTTGCATAATCAATTAATTGACCTTTCCGCACTAATCAAATTTGATTTTTCTGGCATAGAAAATTTAATACGCAATAAAATTATTTTTAAGTCTTTTTTTTCATTTTAACAAATAGGTCAAAGTTATGTTAAATATTTAAAAAATAACATCGAAAGTGGGGGTATATGATACACGTACTTAAAAAGTGTCAATTTTACTTTAAATTGGCTCAATTTTTTCCTGGATTTTCAGAATATATTGACTCTATTTGTCACACTTCGATAGGAATTGATAAGAAATAATTTAATAGAGATTTCAGAACCAGCATAACACATTTCACTGCAAAAAAAAAAAAAAAAAAAAAAAAAAACAGCTTTGTGTGCAACCAGCGTGGATAAATAGGAATATAAAATTAACAGTACTGTTATATATAGTTCAAAAGGGGAAAAAAAACTTATCATTTTCTTCTAAATAATCTTCCGCCACAAAATGTAGTCCCTAGCTTAATTCAACTTGAATGGAATTTAATCGGGTTTTTTTTATTGAATTTAGTTTAATTTGCATTATATAATTCAGATTTAATGTTAGAACTTAAAAATGAAGCAAAATTTTATAAATGAAGGACAGGACGAAAATCCACTCAAAAGCTCCGGATCGAACGTCCTTAAATGACGTGTTGAGCTCATTTTGAAAGATACCATCCAAAGTATTTTTATCAATCTTCATATGCTGATACATATTGATGAGAGCTATTCAACTGCATCACCATTTATTAACCTTGACCTTTCCTTTGACCTTGATCTCACTTTATTTACATGTAAACGAGTGTTTACCGTTTTAAGGAAACCATCCAAGATATTTAGATCAAATGTCATATGTTGATGCATACTGATGAGAGCTTTTCAACTGCATCAAATTTTTTGTACCTTGGCCTTTCCTTTGACCTTGATTTGAATTTTCTTAAATTACTTTGAAACTTCATATACTGATGCATACTGATGTACATGTTAGCAATTCAACTGCATCATTATTCATGATTGATTGATTGTATATTGTTTAACGTACACGCGTCCCTCACTTTTCAAGGTATTCTGAAATTTCATACACAAATTCAAATTTTCATGTTGCATTTACTGATATACCTTCGGCGGGGCATTCATGTCCTATGGACATATTTTTATTTATGTGTCTTTATTTGGTAGCTGTCTCATTTCCCATTTTACCATGCAAAACTTAAGGTAAGTCACTCGTGAAATTTCTTATTTCAAGGATTTTTTGAGAAGTTTATTTATTTAATTTTGAATTAGTACCCTATATTATAACTCAAAATTGCAGAGAAAATAGGTGGCCAGTGTGCATTTTACTTAGCTATGGTACAATTAAATTTACCTTTTTGCACCTAAATTTTAACTGTTTGGTTAATTACTTAAACTATTATATAATATTTTATCAGAAGTAACCATGGCAACAAATATAGTCTCTTTTTACGTAAAATAGTTTTAAAAAATATTTATCGTTGAAAAAATTAAAAATTAAAATTAATTAAAACAGTCATTCTACGATTAATGGACCAATTCAAGATATAAAACATGAAAAACATGAAGTGTTTGTGAAACACAGATGCCCCCGTATGGCAACAATGCAAACTAAAGTATATAGGTCCCTGATTAAGCTTTCTCAAATGCAGATCAAATACTGTTCAGGGGAAAAATAACTCGCGGTGTTAATATTCGCTATATCCACGGTGTTAACAAATCCGTGATTTCAAGAAACAGTGAATAAATTTTCAATAATCTCCGTGTTTTATTTGGAAAATTGAGAATAGAGTTACGATAGATTTATATAGGTGTTCGTGCAGTCCATGGTCATTCCAGTAATTGCGAGTAGTACTGTCATTCAATTTTTATTATCACGCTTTGTAGCAACCTCTAATGATAAAACGCCGCTTAATGATACAAATAGCATTAAGCGTTGCAATTGCAACGCTTAATGCCATAAATTATTGCATTAATAGCTGACATTATCAACCACTAATGCTAAATCGCCGCTTAATGACAGAATTATATCATTAAGCGTCACAAATGCAGTGTAACACCGACGCTTAATGAAACAAGCAAATATCGACATATTCGACGCTTAATGATACACACTGGTGTATCATTAAGCGTTGCAGTTGCAACCCTTAATGATATAAAATTTAGAAATCGCTTGTTATGTCAAAGAGAAACACACATCCACCTTTCCTGAACAATGAGATATCACTTGTCAAAATATTTATAAATGCCCTAGTGCTCTATAAATAGTAATTATTGAAGTTTTAATGTGTTTTCTATCTAGTCAAGGGAACGTCGTTTAGCCCCGGGTGTTTAAGAGACAGATAGTCAGAGAGCTAGAAAAAGAGATACAAACAAAGGGATAAATAAAATGATATTCAAATCTTTTAAAAGAACCATTTTTTTAAAACTAAAAATACAGAAGCAAACAAGCAATTAAATTCCTTTTAAATTTATACAATGATTTGAATATTCAACGTGAAATATTTATATGTTTTAGATTTGATACAGCTTAACACATATCACTGTTAACGTTTCAGATATTATACGTATCGAGATTTTCACTATTGCTTTGTTTCTCCAAATTCCGAAAAAGAGAGACATAAATATTGACAACTTATGTTTAAGGATATATAACAAAGAATACAAGTACATGTAATACTTAGAATAATATATATTGTGTTGAGAAAAAGGTTCATTTATGCTTTAATAGTAAGCCGTGTTACTTGAATACATCACTGTTGCATGATTATTTTAGAATCAATTTTGAATTCTAGTACGAGGGTTGTTAGAAAAGTTCGCGGACTATTTTGATTTACAGAAAATCTATTGTGTACTTTAAAGTATGACCTATGTCTGAATAAAGTCCTACATTTTGTTTATTAGTATGTAAAAAATCAGGTTCAATTACTAAAATCTTGAAAATTTACAACGATTTTTACCAAGAGATCATGGGATTCACGGAGCAATCACATGACGTAAGGCGACGAGACAAAAGGATTTCAAATCGTTAAGCTTTGTTGCAGTTCATTAAATATTTCATTTTTTCATATTTTTCCTATTTTTTTCTACTTTAAAATTGAATGTCTACATCAAGACATGTTACTTTTCCACTGTCTTTTTTATTGATTCGGATATTATTGAGATCTATTTAAAAGTATATTCAAGTAATCGATCAGGTATGGGAAATATGCAAAACCATATAGGCACAACGTCCATGCAATAAGGGGGTATTGACGTATCGATGGAGTTAATCATTCAAATTGTTAATCCTTACTGTAATGTTTCTATATTCAAACTCAAGACATGTCGTGCTGCATGCTTTTTTTATTCTGCCCCAGAGTTACATTTTAGACTAAACATTAACAACCTGATATAAACGGAATCGGATAAAAACGGATTACATGTACATATCATTACATCTTTCCCCTTTTAAAGATAAAATGTACAAAATAAACTTTTACTGTTAATTTAGATAGAAAATTTCAAATTCATAATTTACTGAAAGTTAGAGATATAGAGTATAACATATTTACATAATATATACAGTCAATCATGAATTCATCTTTCAATATACCGGTAAGTTCTCAAATTTTATAACATTGGGGATTATTATGCCCCTCACACAATTACATCACTTGGGGATTATTATGCCCCTCACATAATCACATCACACATAATCCTGGAATCTTTTAGGTCGTCTGACCTCACGTCCGGATCGTGTTTTATACGTTTCTGCTCGTATCGGCTGATTTGGCTCTAACGATTGTTCTGGCACACTTTTCTCGAGTACTGGCTGCACGGGTACTTCTGTCTCACTGAAGTCATCTAGGTCATCATGTTCTGAGATAGCTTTTCGAAAACTCGTTTCCTCTGATTTGATGATGTCTCTGCGATTTCGACGAAATTTATCACCATTTAAGTTTTCTACATTGTACGATCGATCATGAACTTTATCTTTCACGTATCCTGGCATCCAATGTCCTCTGTGTTGGAATCGAACTGTATTTCCCGGTTTCAAATATGGAAGATCTTTCTGTCCACTGTTGAAATACTTCTTCTGTTGATCCTGTGAGTTTCTTCTTTTTTCATAAGTTTTCTCTGCTGGAATGACTTTAGGTCTGAGTTGTTCTTTGGTGATGGGTAGAATAGATCTGAGTTGTCTGCTCATTAGTAGTTGCGCTGGTGAATCAACATCTGACGGCGTGTTCCTGTATTCTAGTAGACTAATGTAAGGATCCCGTCCATCGACTCTGGCTTTTTCCAACATACGTTTTGCTGTTTGGACAGTTTTTTCCGCTAAACCATTCCCTTGTGGATAGTACGGGCTTGATGTTATGTGCTTGAATGCCCATTTGTTTGCGAAATCCTTGAATTCTCTGGATGTATATTGCGGTCCATTGTCGCTGATTACTTTAAATGGTATGCCATGTCGGGCAAATGCAGATTTCATATGAATTATGACAGTTTTGCTCCTAGTATTTTCAAGTTTAGCGATTTCAAAGAATTTGGAGTAGTAATCCACGATAACCAAATAGTCTTCATTGTTAAGTGTGAATAGATCAGTTCCGACAAGCTGCCATGGTCCATTTGGTATGGGTGTTGGTCTTAATGTTTCTTTTGTATTCTTCTTTCTGAAGTCCATGCATGTGTTGCATTTGGATATCATTGAGGCAATGTCTGCATTCATTCCGATCCAATAAACTACAGTCCTTGCACGAGCCTTTGTTTTTTCAATACCGAAGTGTCCTACATGAAGGTATCTAAGGATTTCTGGTTGTAGAACTTCTGGAATGACGATTCTTTCGTTAATCATAACAATTCCATTCACAGATGTTAACTCAGATTTCATCCTCCAAAATTCTTGTAATGGTTTGGACAGCTGATTCCTGTATTCTGGCCAACCATTTTCAATATGATGAATCACTTCACTGAGAATTGTGTCATTCCTGGTTTCGTTTTTGATATCTTGTAGAATATCCTTAGCTATAGGAATCCCCTCAAAAAACACAGAATTCACATAAGCTTCAATTTCATCATCTATGCCATCTTTCTGTTTTTTCACTGTAGGTAGATGAGCACGAGACAGTGTGTCTGCTATTATCAAATCTTTTCCCGGAGTGTATTTGAATTCAAAGCAATATTTCTGTAGGCGAAGTAGTAGTCTTTGTAGCCTCGGTGGAGCTTGAACCAGTGACTTCTTGAGAATGTTCTCCAGCGGCTTGTGGTCATTTTCAACAACAACGTTTACTCCATAAGTATACTGGTGGAATCTTTCTAGACCAAAAGTAACAGCTAACAGTTCTTTTTCTATCTGAGCATAACGTTTTTCAGTCTCTGTTAACGCTCTAGACGCATAAGCAACTGGTTTTTTGTCCTGTATAAGCACTGCACCTAGTCCACATTTTGAAGCATCCACACTAACGCATATAGGTTTTTTCACATTGAAAAAAGTAAGAACTGGTTCCTTGGACAAAATTTCCTTGATAGCCTTGAACGCATCCTCCTGTGGTTTCTCCCAGATAAACATATTTTCACTTCTGAGTAAGCTTCGGATTGGTTCATTTATGACTGACATGTTTGGAATGAATTTGGCAAGATAATTCACAGTTCCTAGCAGACGCTCGACTCCTCTCTTATCCGTTGGCGGTGGCATGTTGATAATTGCTTCGACTTTCTCTCAGTCAGGTTTTACTCCTTCCTTGGAGATCACATGTCCTATGTAAACAATCTCTGTCTTGTTGAACTGACATTTGTCCTTATTTAGGGTAAGGTTAATTTCCATGCATTTCTGTAGTACGGCTTTTAGTCGTCTGTTGTGTTCCTCTTTATTTCTCCCCACACAAGTATGTCGTCTATGACCACTTCAACACCTTCAATACTGTCAAAATGTTGAGCAATCCTCTTCTGAAAAACTTCCTGTGCACTCTTTATGCCAAAAGGCATGCGTCTGAAACAGTATCGTCCATATGGTGTATGAAATGTTGTAAGAAGTTGACTGGCCTCATCTAGTGGTATTTGCCAGTATCCACTATTTGCATCAAGTTTGCTGAAAATTGTGGCTCCGGATAATCTGGTTGTGATGTCCTCAATGGTAGGTAACTGAAAATGTTCACGTTTGATGGCTTCATTCAAGTCACGAGGATCCAGACATATGCGTAATTTTCCTGTTTTGGATTTTTCAGCGATCACAAGAGAATTAACCCAATCAGTTGGTTGGTCAACTTTCTTGATCACTTCCTTGGCTTCCATATCATCTAGAGTTTTCTTGAGTTCCTCACGGAATGCTACTGGTATTTGTCTAGGACTATGAACAACAGGTGGTACGCTACTGTCAACACGGATGGTGTATGGTTCCTTCAAGCACCCTAATCCTGTGAAAACACTTGGAAATTCCTCAATAGGTGAAAAATCACTCTGTAGTTTTTCTGTAGCTAGTGTCACTTTGATCAGCCCTAGTTCACAACAACTCTTATATCCTAATACTGATGGTTGATTTGCGTGTGTAACGTAACATTCAAGTTGTTGATCTTTGTATGGAAGAACACACTTTCCCGCTATAGGTATGGAATCACCTGAGTAACTCGTAAGTTTCACATTAGTTTTGGTGAGTGTGCTGTTTAGTTTCTTGAAGATTTTCTCTGTGATGATATTCACTTGAGAGCCTGTGTCCAACCACTTGAGAGCCTGTGTCCAACTTGAACTTGATAGGAATGTTGTTTATTTCCAAACTTGAGTAGATTTCATCTTGACTGTTTCCACTTGAAATAGCACCAATAAAGAACTTCTCACTTGTCTCACAGCTGTTTGTCATTTCATCTGTTTCTAGTTCATTTGAATGAATAGACTTAGTCCTGCACTTTGATGCAAAATGTCCTAACTTGTGACATCTGTTACATTTTTTCCCGAATGCCGGACATTTTCCTTTCTCATGCTGGCTTCCACATTTTCCACATGTAAAGGATTTTGTGTTGATAGGTTTACTTGACACACTTTGCTTCTTGGGTTGATACACATTTCCCTTCATATATTTCTGGGTTGACGGAAATTTGTTTCCTACTGACGCTTTGACAGACTGTTTATATTTCACAGCATCCACATGTTCCTCATGTTGTAGATCCTTTAATCTATTCTGTGACTCTTCATTAGCACGACACATACTTAAAGCTTTCTGTAATGTTAGTTCATTGTCTCTGAGTAATCTTTCTTTGACTTTCTCTGAATAAACTCCACATACAATTCTGTCTCTTAGCATTTCATCTTCCAATGCACCAAATTTACAGTTTTTGGAAATTATTTTCAAGTCTGTGACATATTGGTCAATGGTTTCTATTTTACCTTGAACTCTGGTGTGAAACCTATGTCTCCAAACTGTAATATTTTCTCTAGGAGCACAGTAGTCTTTGAACTTCGTAAAAAGTGTATCAATCTTATCAATATCTTCATCTGGTATTGTCATAGTGTTAAATATTTCTCTGCCTTCTTGACCAATGATATAGAGAAAAGCACTACACTTATCTTTTTCGTTTCTCTCATGCATGGCAATGTTCAGGTACAATTTCATCGTTTGTTCCCACTTTCTCCATCTCTCCGGTAAATTTCCGTCTGTAGTAGAGAAGTCTAACTCTGGTGGAGGACGAATGTGTTCCATTTCTTTTCCTTCTGACACCATGTAATGTTTCTATATTCAAACTCAAGACATGTCGTGCTGCATGCTTTTTTTATTCTGCCCCAGAGTTACATTTTAGACTAAACATTAACAACCTGATATAAACGGAATTGGATAAAAACGGATTACATGTACATATCATTACACTTACATTCTTATAAAGCTACAACCATTTGAAAACTTTTGTCGTATGTATGTGTAGGAAATTCCCGGCAGCATCTTTAACATTTTAATCCCTTTTTTAGACATTTTCCTGTCTACACACATAATTTTTACGCAGTGCAGTGCTCCATGACGCTCAATGACGTTCCGATTTTTGGCTGTGTTTTTAAGCGTTGATCATTTATAAATGGCTATAAAACAGTCATCAACCCTGCATTTTGATTCAAAATTTCTCCCAGTGAATTCATGAATAATTTAGCGACAGGTAAAATATCACAGATCTCTTTGCGCTACAATTGTGTAATTTTTAATTTTGATAAAGAGTTTTTGTGATCAAAACGTGCCAAAATGTAGCATGCTCCGTGAAGCAAGTTTTATCAAAATAAAACAGCTGTATATTTTTCAATGATCACCGGAGAGCACCAATTTTTTGTACATTTATTGGAAAATAGGTTAAGATTTTATCTGAAAAGTTTGACCGATTTCGTGGAAATAGCGCGCTCACAATAGAACTTGTCCGAGAACTTTTCTAACACCCCTCGTATTTATCAAATTACAATATACATGTACATATTGACTGAGGTTGAAGAGGCTGTTTTTTTTTTTAATTCTAAATATTTCATTTGTAGTATATTTTTTTCTTTCGATATATAAGACTAAGTTTACATCTGACTAATATTAAAATGAAATAGATTTAAATGAATATAATCGGACAACTTTAGACAATAAATTCTCTTTCAACTTAAGAGTTCCGTGTATTTATTTGTTTCTGTCTTGAAGCTGAAGATTTAATTTTTTTAGGATACCGATTGTTATTATCATGTTGTGACAAAAATACTCCGAAAATGGCCTTGAAGCTACGTCATATTTTACATCATCAAAGGAAAATAACCAGAAATTTATGATTTTGCGATTTTTAGAGTTATCATTCTTAAAATTTGACTTCAAAGGAACGAGTCAGGCTTTGATGAATAAAGTCAAAGATTGGTAATTTTACCCAAATTTTAAAGAAATTTCACTTCGATGTTCGTATAATTCTTTTTAGAGCTAGTTTTCACTAGTATGTATATTTTCAGTCAAAATACAAGTTATCGATGTATGACGTCTGGAATTTAACTCAATTTATTTCTACAAACCAGAGTATGATAAACTATGAAAAAAAGAGCGAATTACCGCATTATAAGCATTTTAAAGCATTTCTAAGGCAGAGTGAGGTTTCTTGAATCATTCTACATTTGTGCAACGATATTGTCAATTAAATTTAAATTGAGGGTTATTTCTTAGATAATAGATAAAAATATATCCATATCAAGCATTTTAAAGCATTTTGATAAAGGTATGATATTTTTCCGGTCAAAATAAATTTTGAGTAATTCCTAAAAACTCGATTTTTGAGGATATTTTCTCAATAAAGGGCTTATACTTGTGTCCCAAATTAATATTTTAATCACAAAATAATTGTTAAACTCCATTTTGATAATTTTCCGTCGGTAGCGATATCGCTAGAACTTGTTGAAGTACAAGGGTATCCGATGCATGGTGAATTCACCCTATATGATATTTAACTTCATTTCTAACAGATAAGTTCTATTCAAGCTGAGTCTTTTAATTTGTTTCTTGATTATATGGCATTTTAATTCTTAATGCAGCGAAAGATAATTCACTTTTAAGCACTGGTACTTTGTTTCCATGCTACATGTAACACTGCAAAGTAGCAATTATACCAAATTTTTCTTATGGTTTTGGTGTTGCAAGGTTCTAAGGATGCATATTAGCCAGTCTTGAATTTTCATGTTTTTCCTCAAGACAGTATAACATTAACCCAATTTAGTTACTGGTTTTGCATGGTTTCACTTTGTTACCATGGCAACCATAAAAGTTATTTATAGAATGATATTGCTTATACTTAATATATACTTAAGGTCAAATATTTTCATTGTTCATCTTAAGTCGTTGATTGAGTTTGAGTATGTAACACCTACCATTAGTGAATACGGAGTGTTTTTCAGCATATTTCAGCATTTTAAATGTATCCAAATGTACCCTTGGTTACCACTTACTCAAGGTGTCATGTTTTTGTAAAAATTGTTTGTTTGCTTTTTCTAGTGTTTATTAAGATTAGAGAGACCGTCTGGCTTTCCGTCTGTCTGTAAACAGTTTTTTTTAAAACGCTACTTCTCGTACAGTTTTGGTCTTATTTCAATATAACTTGGCAAACAAGTAAACTTACCTAAGATACATAAAATAGTGCATCAGTTTTTGATTTTGATGAACAAGGTTGCCATTATTAGTAAAAATAGAAATTTCTGTGAAATTCCTTTGAAACGCTCCTCCTTCTACAGTTTTGGTCTGATGGTTTTGGCTTCTTTTCTCATCCTTTGTTATAAGTACAAACCTGTAGAGCTACAGTCTTGACAGAGATTTTTGGTTTAATGTTAAGGTTAGACGACACGTTCCTCAAAAATATATCATTTTTCTTAAGAGATTGTCATTGAAGAATAGGTACTTAAACGTTTAAGATTCCTCACAAAAAATAAGGGTACCTTACCAGCCATTTGGACAAGATACCAAAGGTTCATATTTCTTATATAACCCTTATTTGATAATCCTCTGAAAGGCCTATCTCAATTTTTTTTTTGGTGTACCTATATTTTAAAACATTTTAAAACAATGCAAAAATCAGAAGAGAATGCTAAATATGAATAATTTTTTTCATCTTATTCCAAGAGATACAAAACATATTACTAAGAAACGTGTCGTCTGACCTTTATGTCCAGGAAAAAGGTAATGACCTTGACCTGACCTTGCCTTTAATATTAAACGGTCAAATTTATCCTTACTGATACCATCACAAATATTGTACTCTTGATTCTGTGAACATTTCATTAATTTTTAAATACAAGAAATGTGAGAAGAATCCTACCTTAACCAACATAAAATATTTATTAATGTAATTAAGTAACCCCTACCCCATCCCATGCCGACGCTTACAAACATACTTTGTATCATTACTTCTCCTTAAATTGAAAACTTCCATTAAACTACAGCGTAGTTTGATCGGCTTTTTTTTATTTTGATTAGAAAGTCGTCGATGTTACATTGGACGACAAACTGATTTATAGGTTTTATTCACGGCTGGCGTAAAAACACTAACATATCCCTTAAAATACTACAGTAAACTATAGTTTACTTTAGTTAACTATAGTACCAAAGTAAACATTTAAAACTTAAATTTACTATTAATAGTGCAAACTTTCGAACTTTGATTTGCTATAGTAAACACTTTGAAACTTTGATTTACTACAGTGAAAACTTTGGAATTTAATTAACAATAGTAAAGACTTTGAAACTTTGATGTAATTAGGTTTTGATTTCTATTCTTAATATTTCATTTCATTTCAAGGTTAAGATTAAGAAAAAGGTTCCAACATATTTTTAGGAACAGGACCATTTTCCTAAAAGAATAATGTACAAGAAATGAATACTAGTACATGATTAATAGAGAGGGTCTGTCTTGTACAGAAAAAGAACTATTCATTTAAATTTATTTCATTTTAATATTAGTCAGATGTAAACTTAGTCTTATATATCGAAAGAAAAAAATATATCTCTGTCGAGACTGTAGCTCTACTCGTTTGTACTTACTTATAATAAAGGCAGAAAAAAGTAGCAATTGGGGCTTAAAACTTTATAAAAGCAATAAATAGAATTACGGTCCTTAATTACGTCTATTTTTGTGGCAAGATTGCAATAAAACTACAACTGTAGTAATACCTTTCAATAAAATTTTACAGAATTTTCAATTTTAGTTACCATGGCAACATCAATCAACAAACTCAAAAATACGAAACTGATAATAGTGTATGCCAGTATAGTCTACTTGCAGGTCAAATTATATTACAATCTGAATAAAACTGTAGGAGGAGTAGCATTTTGAGTGAATTTCACAGAAATTTCTATTTTAGTAACCACGGCAACACCGTTGATCGAAATCAAAAACCGATATCTTCAAGTGTAGTCTACATGTGAAGTAAGTTATTTAAGGAATCACTGTCTAGTTAGGAGAGTATGCCAGGGCATCAACAATAGTGGGAAACATGGGATAATTTGCATAACGGGCGAAGCCCGTTATGCTAAAATTATCCCATGTTTCCCACTATTGTTGATGTCCCTGGCATACTCTCCTAACTAGACAGTGATTCCTTATATTTCCAATTCATTGTGAAATAAAATTATATATTTAGACTTAAATAGTAGAGATAGATATAAATTACACAAGGACTCCCATGCGGATTTCAATAGTCCTCGCCCACTGACGTCAGACAGAAAGGAAGCCGCACGAGATTTACATGCATATTTTTCCTCCTCAGCGTCAAACACAGAGACAGATGCGCACGAGATTTGCATGCGTTTAAGACCTTCTTAGCTCCTGACCTATCGATCTGCCTAATTTACATTCAAGAGAATTGTCAAGAAATTAACTAAAGTAACTTTCAAAGGGTTATCACAGAGAAAAAAAAATTAGAAATGGAAATATTCTGAAATCAAACAAAAAATGTTCGATAAGTAGCATTTTATTATATTATTTCTATCTTTAGTATCTAAGGCAGAAATCAAAAACCGCTGCAGAAATTAAGTATCTTAGTGTAGTCTATTTGTGTGCCAAGTTATATTGAAATCATTCCAAAACTGCAGGGGGAGTAGCATTTTGTAAAATTGTTTACAGACAGACGGGCAGACAGACAGGCAAATATACTACAAAATGAAGCATGCGTCATTTATAATTTTAAAAATATCAGCTTCATTCGACATGTTTTTTAATAACTTGATAATTATATACA